TAACTTTATACGTCTACAGATCACCCATAGATTGGGAATCCAGCATCTGGGAGGCCGCCACTTAAAATGCACTTCCAGTGGAATTACAGTTTAGAGGGTATATCTTGAAACCAAGCCAGTAACTATAAATGCACGTAGTTTGAGAGGACTGGAGAAAGAGAGAAGGAATTGGATAGGGTCAGAAAACAGGAACTAGTAGAACTTGGGGAATTGCCTCATCATGACCTTTGCTCATTAATATTTGAATCTGAATTTTTGACATCTTGGTTGCAGTCTGGTGAAATGTCAAGCATGACAGAGACTTAATACCCTGAAGGATATTTCTGTGTTAATGAGATGACTTGATGAATTTGACCTTTAACCTGGATAGGAGTTGAGGAAAGAAAAAGGAAGAGTTTGTTTTCTTTCTTATTATGAGAACTTCTTATTCTATAGAGGTTTGTGTAGCAAGAATTGTTCTTATTTGTAGAGTACTTTATATTACCTCGTTTCAAATTGGAAGCCACTTGAAACTATTTCCATATTGTTGTTGCTGTTGTTGGGGTGCAATGAAGATCACCCAGCAAGTCCCACCACTTTTGTGAAGCCTTCTCTGAACTTTTCTTCTAAAATCACACAGTGCTTAGAGTTTATTCTGCTTAGTTTAGCGCTTAATTGCATGTTCTCCTTGATTTGCTTCAGAATACGAAGTACACTTTCCACTTTTTTGCATGACAAAATCTTTTGGTTTAAAAGAAGCAAATGATGTGACAACATGAATTTTCTCGCCAATGTACTCCTCTTCCTTCCCAAAACTTTTTTTAAACGTATTTTAACTGGATTGAGAAGAATAAGAGCTTTGGTAGTTGACCTTCAGTTCATTTAGTTGTTTTTTTTTTTTTTGGCTGTCTTCGAATAGACACATCGTAGCTGCATCAAGAGACAGTATGATGTTGAGCTAGTTGTTAAGATCTTGTGACTCAAAATCTCGCTGCATCTCAAGTTCCTCATACATTCAAAATATGATGGTAATACTTAGCTCATTCTTCATCTTGTCTGGCATTCTGCTTCTATTCTCGTATAGTCTCGGTGCACTGGGACTGTCATAACTTCATAAGATACAACCTAGATGTGATTATGGGTGATTTGAAACTGTTCCCAGAGGTATCCAAAGGCAGTTTTGGTCATTTTAGGTTTCGGTCAGTTTAGATTGTCTTATCTAATTCTTACCCTGTCCTAGAGATTGGCTGTATGTTCCAAGAAAGAATCTGCTTCATAATAAGATTACTTAATGAAGAGGTTGAAACCACCAATTTTTATTGCTTAGTGTATTTTTAAAAAATTTTTGATGGGGGTGTAATTATGTTTATTTATTTATAGGGTTTTTTTGTTTTTCTTTTTTAACGGAGGTGCTGGGGATTGAACCCAGGACCGCATGCATGCTAAGCACGCACTCTACCACTGAGCTCTACCCTCCCCGCTATTGCTTAACGTATTGATTGTTCTTGCCTGAGTCTGTGTTTATCCTTAGAAAACAAATGGACACTGTGGTAGTAATGTAAAGCAGAAATGAAAAAGAGAATGGATAGTGGACTGTGAATTAGCAAAGCTCCGAAATGCTTTCTAGAGTTAGAGAAATGTTTAACAGTGAAAATAGGCATTTTAGCAATGATCACTTTGTTTTGAAATAAAGAATTAGCTTGAGGGGAGGTAGGGTGGAGAGTAATTGGAGGGCAGTTCAGTAACTGAGCATGTTAGGATAGTATAACAAATGCTCATGTATGAGAGCATTTAGCTTTATTGAGTTATATGTATTGATTATAGACTTGAAAACCAAGTCTGTGTTTCATGCTAGTATTAAAGTTAATAAGCTGTTTAATATTTTGAGATTGAATAATGAGTCTGAAATGTCAACTAACTTATCCCAAATTAATGCTGCTAGTAAGTGGTGGAGATAAAAATTCAAGCTTGGGATTTCCTGACTCTGAGCTATCTTATTTTCACTTCATCCGTCCAGCTTTACTTCTCCTTGCCAATCTGCTGACCACTGAAACAAGCATTTCAAATGCTATCTTCTCAGACTCCAACTTAATTGGACTTTCAGCTCTTTGATTTTTTACACCTCCATGTTCAGCTAGTTGGGCTCTTAAAGTATCTATCTTGGCTGGGATAATTATGTTGAACCACAAGTTAAAAAGCATGCCCTGGCATCAACTCTCCAATATTTGAAGAGTTGGCTCCTGAACTACTCCTGTCTGACCTGTTTAGGTCTAGTTTTTATGTCTGGGATAACCTGTTAATGCTGTTATTATCTGGACCTGTTTTTGCCCAACTGTTCCAGTACAAGACAGTATAAGATCTACTACTGCTTTTTAGGTGATGATTTACTGGAAAGATACAGATTTAGGATGTAGTACTGGGTAGAAGTACCAAATAATTCTATGAGTCTGTCTAAGCTTTTTAACCTCACGGAGAACCTTAGTTTATTGATCTACAGGACAGAAATAATGCCAACTTCTTGGAGTGATTGTGAGAATTTAGTGAAATAACATGAGATGTCAACTGCCTAAGGATAGCGCATCTTGGCCATATAGTAGTTCCAAGAGACAATAGTTTCTTTCCCTTTACTCTGCCTTCTGATCTACAGTGTTGTCTCTGGGCATCTGCTTTGATCTTGTCCTCATTCCTTCACTGCACTCCCACTTTCATTGTTGAAAAGCCTTAGGGCTTCTCACAACTTTGATTTGCTCCCCCTCTGATTGTTCACATGGGGCATACATGTGACAATTATGTTTAACCCTATGGCTCGATGGTGGTCCCTGTTCCAGGTCTCCAGTGGGTCTAGTTGAAAGCATGCCATTTAATGTGGATTTCCTGTATAATGTGACTTTTCTCTTTAGGATTCCTTATGCTTCCATTGGCCTCTTTCCCACTTGGTCTCTGTGGTATTCCCTAACTTAAGTATTTCCATTTGTTGTCTTAAATCACCCATAGAACATACAAGCAACCATACAGACGAGGAACATTTTTAGAATGTGTAATATAATAGATCATTGTTTATTATTCTGTTATTTTTAGTTTATAAAATAGCATTTTAGTAAAATAAAATTTAGAAGATATTCAATCTCATAAAGTTATCAAAGACATAAAAATCATGAAATATCTCTTATTTAATTAGTAGAAAAATTTATAGTAGTACTCAGTGCTGGTGATTATGCAGTTAAGTGATACTCTCAGAGATGTCTAGGGACATTGTAAGTCAGGACATACCTTAGGCAAAGCAGCCTACCTGTGTTCCTCTTCATATCTGCATATATGCATTTTAAATCTAAGTATATTGACACTCCTCATTCTAATGGAGTAAAGAAATAATCTTAAAGGAATTATCTGAAGTATATAAAAATGCATGCAAATTAAAAAATTCATTGTGCTGTTATCTATTATATTTTTTTCCATTTAATGTCTACTACTTTTGTGGAAGGCCCTGTCCCAGTGAAACATATGAAAAAATATATTTAAAAAATGCTATAATCAGAATCTGGCATTTTCATGAAGATCTATATTACTCTGTGACATACTCTGTTTATAATGGCAAAAAAAAAAAAAAAAGGAAGAAGGAAAGAAACAACCTGAATATCCAACAACAGAAGAATGGACAAATACATCATGGTATACTCCTAAAATAGAATGCTGTTTTATAGAATAGAATAATTAAAGGAATAAACTACAACCATACGTATTTCATTTCAAGAAATTCACATTCATAGGGCATGATAAGTGTTCCTACAGTGCAAACTATTTTCTGTTTCTCGATTTGAGTGATGGTTATGTATGTGTTCTCACTTTGTGATAATTCATTTATCAGTATAATTAAGATTTGTGTACTATTCTACATGTAGCCTGTATTTTAATAAAGCTCTTAGTTTGCAAAAACAAAAATAAAATCACATTCATAACACTGAACCAAAAAAGCAAGTTGTAGAAGAACATACTGTATAATATTATAGAAAATTTCAAATAAATAAGATAATACAATATATTGTTTCTTGTTCTATACTTGTCATATGGTATTTAAAAAATACAAATGGTAATCTTAATACAAGAAATGGTCACTCTGGGGAGAGGGAAGAAAATGATTTCAGGAGGTCATACAGGGGCTTCAACTATATTTGTACTGTTTAGGGGATGCATGAGCATTCATCATGTAATTCTGTATATCCTTCTGTATGACAAATATTTCATAATTTAAAAAAAGTATTCGCTGACTAATTGGAGAACTCAGCCTTTTTAAAACTTATCCTGTTTTTCAGAATAGATGATAAATTCCTGAAGTAAAATGGATATATATCTAGAAAAAAATGACTATATCTTCCATGGTGTATAACTTAGACTTGGGACTAAGATATAATTCACTAGAGATAAAGCGTTTGAATCTTCTAAGAAGATAGTAAAACATTAGTACTTTAAAAATTTGCTTAGGGTTTGTGTTCATAAACCTCAGTGTTTATTATTTTTTGAAGAAGTGAAATTTATCCTTTCAACTTTTTTTTGAAAAAATCTTTTTGTTTTAAAACATTCTTTTCATTTTATATTTGTTAAATCATAAAGTAGTAAACACTTTGGTTTCTCGATTAGTTGGAAATTGTTGTTTACATTTGCTTTTTAAGAATTAATGGTAGTTTTGGAAGGGACTTTTTGAAATATATTCTCTGTAGAAAAGTTTAATTAAGATTTTGAATATTGTTTCTCTATTGTTGATTTAGGAAAAAATGCTTCCTGAATAAATACTGGGCTTTATGAATTTAAGCTGAGTAATACAGTGACATGACTTAGGGTGATGGAGCTAATATTTAGGATGATTGCCATCAGGTGCTATTAATTCCAAAATTACTTGAATGCAAGGGTTACCATGACGGAAGAAAACCTTCAAGAAATTCGTAACAGAAAAATAAGTTATTTTAATTTCTGTTGAAATTTCATTTTAATCCATCAACATTATGATTTACATTCTTGCATTTCAGGGAAAGGTGGCCCAGACAGCATGTATGTCAGCTTGCAAGCATTTAGCCACATCCTTGATGCAACTTTTGCTGGAAGCTGAAGTAAGACAGCTCACCTTGGGAGCATTACAGCAGTTCAATCTGGATGTCAGAGAATGTGAACGTAAGACAGTGACTATCTCTTTGCTTGTTTGTTTGACTTGTATATTCACTTCTGGGGAAAAGAAAGTTTTAGGTCTGTGGGGAGTTGGGCCTCATGGAGTCAAAGAATACCTAGATGACAGAAATAATTTGTAACGTCTAGAAATAGAGTCTACCAGCAAGCTAACTGGAGCACCCAGAAGTGTCCAGGCCCATGTGTAGAACAGAGAAGATCCCTGGCCACATGGAAGTTAGCAATCTAGGGGAGGGATATGAGACAGACATGCATTTAATCCACACCAAAGAAAACCTGATTAATCCAAAGACTTCAAAAGAATGCAGTTCCCAACCTTTTCTTTCTTATGTTGTATTTTAAAACTATTTTTTCATTTTATCTGCAAACTCTTCTTAGTCTAAGGAACAAATGGAGTGTGCATTAATCAGTCAGAAATGCTTTTCTATGTCAGGGACTAACAGAAAACTTTAGACAGATTGATTAAAACAAATAACTCAACAAATCTTTAGCAAGAGAAACACAAGCATATTATGGTCAGATTGCTAAAAATAACAATAAAAGCGAAAATCTCAAAAACAGAAGAAAAGACACATTACATAATGAAAAGCAATGATAAGAATTACTGTTAACTTCTCAGAAACAGTGCAAATCAGAAGGCAGTAGAAGAACATCTTTAAAATACTAAGAGGAAAAAAGCCTATCAGCCTAGAACATTTTGTCTTGTGAAAAACATCCTTCAAAATAAAGGTAAAATATAGACATTTTTCAAACAAGCAGAAGTTGAGAAAATTTGTCACCAGAAGTTCTGCACCACAACACATGTAAAAGTGCAGAAGTGACCGTGATTTCTGTGGCTGGATCACAAAACACAAGCAGCCCCCGTCTCCTTGGTTAGCAGTTGTGTAAAAAGCCCCACTACCAGAGGCCTCCAGGCTGCGAGGAAGCCTAAACCAGCTCACGTGCAGAGAACACATGGAGAAGCTCTGATACATGACATTTTAAATTTTACGTCGTGGGTGTTGTATTTTGTTGTATTCCTTTAAATAGTGCTGGGTTTTATTCTGACCTGCATTTACATTACTTGGTTGGATCTTTTCAAGGCTTGCTTTTATGTTTCTATTGGGTTCAGAGCAGCCTTTCACGTAGGTCATATTTAACCCCAAATCTAAAGCAGTGCCATTTGAAGGGTTCTCCCCCATGCCTCAGGTATCTGAAGATCTTTCAGCTTTGACTGGAGGGAACCCAAAGTATGCCCAGCTCTATCAGAGCTCCACAAATTATTCTGCCTATTCATTTCCGGTGATTCTTTCTCCAGCCTTGGGTAGTTTCTTCTCACATATGCACAGATTAGTACTCAACCAAAAATTCAGTGGGATCCTTTTGTGCTTTTCCTGAGTGCTTTCTTTTGCAGCTCCCTCCATCTGGTAACTGGCCCTGCAAATACTAGTTGACTTGGCATTCTGGGCTGCAGTCTCTGACTTTGCAACTCAGACCACCATGCTTTGTTTGGGTTCCCCCTCTTTGCCTGCTATGCATCACAGCCTGGAAACTGCTGCTAGGCATGCTCACCTGGTCTTTCAGGGATCACAGTCCTGCATTGACTGTTGTCTAATATCTAAAACCATTCTTTCAGATGCTTTGTCCAGTTTTCCATTTTTTTTTCCTTCTTCTTCAATGGGAAGATGAGTCCCCTTCCTATTACTCCATCATGACCAGTAGCAGAATTAAGTGAATATCTTTTCAACTTTTTTTTAAATCAAAGTAGTACTTGCTCTTTGTGGAAATTCTAGGGGGGAAAGAAAAGTACAAAAGTACAAAAAGAAAATAAAAATCATCATAATCTTATCATGAAGAAATAAGTACAATTCCAGAGATTACGCCCAGACATAATATCCGCAGAAACAGAATTGTTTCTAGAAGCCATTCACTGGATTTCTTGTACCTAGTTAGCCAGAATTGTTTTATATGCCTCTGCCTTAACCAGTTATTCCCAGGAGAATGAAAACATAATGACTGGCTAAACCAATCAAGATTGATTCTTGATGCTGAATACAAAGTTGCCCTTTTCTGTGTTTTCAGGACTAGTAGAGCATCATTCTGATAAAAAAAAAAAAGGGGGTGAAAGGCTTTGGAGTAGGCAACCAGTCAATACCACTGGCTGAAGAGTAAAGTCTGATGAATATTTGAGGATGACCTATGACTGCATTTTTGGTAGAGCCAAACGGTAAACAGGGATGGAGTGTGATAAGATACATGAGCTGAGAAGGAGGAGTAATGGTCTGGGAGAAGCACTGATAAATAAGGAAAATGCCCATCACATAGCCTGATTCTGAAATACATTTTACGTAGAAGGATGAGCAGCTTCTACTTGAGAGAACTATTGGTGCCCTTAGCAGGGAGCCAGCTTTCAGCTGAGAGGTAGAGAGAGATCATTTAATGAAAAGGTGGAAACAGAATAGTTTGTTAACTATGCAAAAGGGGTTCCGGAGAGCCAGTGTCTTCGCTGAAAAGCCATTCAGTGTTTGTAATAGCCTTTCAGACTTAGGATCAGCTTGAAGCCAACATTTGGACAGCATGGCAGTTCCTCGAATAACCATATTAACACGGACATTTTTTCCCCGTGTATTGTGGAGCCACGAAGGTTCATTGATTTAGAGTTTAATGTTTCATTTCTGATTGGCATTAATTTGTCTGTCAAAAAACTTTCCATGGACATTTATTTTACTTTAAAAGAAAGAATTCTATTCTATGTCTTTTGCTATACCACCCCCCTCATCTTTTTCTTTAGATGCTCAGTGGTCTATAAAAAAATCTTAAAGAAATGATACATAAGATTCACGGAACTATACAGAGGCGTATAAAAGCCGCCCCAAATGACAAGATAATTAACACTTTCATCTTTCTACCCAGTGGTGTATGCGTGAGGTGTTTTTGCTATTGTCTGTAAGTCCTTGGAAGAACTGTGTAGGTCCTGAGAGAAATCAAACTTTGGACAAGACAGAATGTGAATATACATTGAGTGTTTGAGGCCCGGGCTGCCACTTTCTAAATCCCGTAGACACAGAGGAATGATATGCACTCCCACAAGCCCAGGACCTTCAGCTAGTGTAATGTGGTTATTAGGAGCATAGGTTTTAGAATCAGTTCAACCAAATTGACTCAAGTCACCATTTCTTTTTACTATGACCATGTGTAAGTTATTTTACCTCTCACAGCCCCAATTATGAAATAGGAATAATAATAGTGCCTAATATTACAAGGGTAGGCTTAGAATTAAATGAGGTAACACATGAAAGTTTATTTCATGACTCGCAAAGTACTAAATATGCAGTGAGGGGTGGCTTCTCCTGTTGTTACCGTTAGCAGCAGCAGTAACTGTTAGTAAATATTTATCCACAACTCTCAGAAGGTCTTTTGCAGACCACTCAAACCTTTGTCTGTAGTTTGGGAATCAGTTAGGTTTGGAGATGCTCTTTTATTTGGTGTAAGAAATTAAGTTTTGCTTCTTGGTAATTGTCTGCAAACTTCCGTGGATGTTCTGAAAGATACCATCCAGAACTGGTGATTTTCCAATTTTCAGCTTATGCTTTTGCAAGAAATCAATCAGTTAGCTCAGATGTTTACTAGAGACGGTATAAAGAAATTTTTGAACACCACTGTCTAATAAGAGTGTTGCTGTTGGGTGATTTCTTCCTGACAGGCTACCAAACCAAGCACCTTTAAGGTGAAGATTATAAAGAATTTAGGAGATGTGAAGGAAATACTCCTTTCCCTTTAAAAATCGAGTGACCTCTGGATATTTCTGCTCTGTGTAGATTTCATCTTCCATCGCCACTCGTTTGTGTATCTTACATTTGCTTTTGGATATTGGAACACTGGATCTCAGCAGGTCTTAATGACCTAATACTTAACCTCCTTGATAAAACTTGGGTTGCTGTATCATTCATGTACTAGGATGTTCAGTCAGTGTCTAGATTTGGAATTTCCTAAGCATTTACTTTGTATATTCTAAAAATAAGGAGGGCTTGATTCATATTCCAGTTCAACTACTTGTTAAAAGCACGAATTCAGTAATCTGTTCATTTATTCGACAAATATATGTGGAGCCCCTACTCTGTGCAAAGTACTGTGCTGGAGATTGGAGGCAAACATGGGAAACCATTGATTTTCAATAGGAGTTGCTTGATTAGATTTGTGTTTCAGACGGAACTCTCATGTATCAGGAGCCTCGGAGGCCAGTTATAAGGCTGTTGCAGTAACCCATGTTAGAGAGGGTGTGGGAGCTTCAGTATATTGATTCATTGTAATTCAGGCCATTGGAGTGAATGAGTCAGCTCATCAACCTCCCTGATCAGGTCCATCAGTAAACTAGAAACGCTAATCCCTGCTGTGGTTGCCTCACAGTATTGTTATGAGGTCAGATGAGATGATTCATGTAAAATCCTTTGTTACAGCCATGGAAATTTTATTTATCATAGTTTCAGTTATTTATCCATATGCTGTCGCTTCTTTTTGTCTCTTATTTTCTTACCACTTCCATTGTTGTATGGTTTATGATGTTAAATACTTTCAGTGTTTAGTTATCTGCTCAGGTTCTTAAATTATTCAGAAGGTTGGTGTATTAAAGATGTAACATACTTAAGCCAAATCCAGGGGATATTTGTTTGCAAGGAAATGCAGCGGCAATTGCTTCTTTTTAAAATTAGTGTAGTCCATCATTTCCCAGGACCCATCAGTCTTTTGCACAGAACAGACTGGGTCCCTGTGCAGGAAGGTAGTAGAGTGCATCTTTGCCAAATTCTCAATACTTTGATGGTTGAGTTAACCTAGACTTGGCTAACTATTTTGGAAAGATGCAGGGCTCCAAAGCCATCCATTTCACCCTTCTAACCTCACTTTACAGGTCAGGAAACCAGTGGGGAGAATCTGTCTAAATTCGGATTTAATGAAACAACTCTGGAGTAAATTCATGATCACAGTGCAGTATAAAAGAGTGTCAGAATACC